ATAAAATAGAGATAGATACTGACCAGACTAATGAAATAGAGGTAGACACTAAGCAGACCAATGAAATAGAGGTAGACATTGACAATTCGGAAACAAATAAAATAGAGGTAGACACTTCGGAAACAAATGAGAACGTTCAGGTTGATATGAATAATCCAGAGGAAATTATATAGCAATGTATATTATGAGTATCGCAAATTCAAGAGGTTAGGTTTAGAACAGTGATGTCATCACATCACATGATTAAGTGCTCGGCCTAAGTTAAGGTTTGTGTTGGGGCTAGTGTTGGGATAGTGTTAGGATTAGTGTTGGGGTTAGGTGATGTTTAGGCAATTAGAATAGAATCATCACCCAAAAAAATTTCAACCTATATTTCGAAGTAAAATTTTGGTTTGTTAGGTTAGGGTTAGGATGTTGCCTATAGGTTAAGGTTTTATATATCAAAATTTTGCAAGAAAATTTTTTTACTAATACGCAAAAGGCCCTTTCATAGACTTATTTACAAAATGAACATTGTTTTGAATTTTCCTGATCATGCTACTATTACACATGATCTTGAAATCATGAAATTTTTTTGGATAGCGATTTTACCCCAGTTTGTTTAGGCTGATTTGTTTAATGTAATTGCATGATCATGTTATGTGATGATTACTGAGTTTCTTTTAAAGTATTGTAGTGGTAGTTTAGTAGTTTTAGTAACATTTTTTTTTTTTTTTTAGTCTGTGAATGCTACTTTAGGAAAGTATTATATAAAGCTATGTCAACAGGAAAGCGTCTATCGAAAAAAAACAGCTAACAATACAATTGAACCTGGAACTCCTGTTAGTATTGTGCCGGACTATAATACAAATCCACAAACGCGAAGAAGAAAATTGCAACTAATGTTTTCTCAAATGGGCATATTCAAAAGATTAATCTCTAACAATCATACAGCAATTGTAGAGGTTGATGGCAAAGATATGCCTATCCTAATCAAACGAATTAAAGTGATCAAATCTTAAATGATATATATATCATTTAAATTTCTTTAAATTTTCTCTTTTTTTTTTTTGAAAAATTAAATTTAAATTTTTTTTAAAATTTTTTTTTTTTATATATATATAAAAATCGTTTTATATATATATATATATATATATATAAATTATTATTTTTTTTTTTTTATAAAAAAATCAATTTTTTTATATATATATATATATATATATACAAAGAAAAAATTTTTTAAATTTTTTTTTTAATTTTTAAGATTTTTTTTTTTTTTTAGAAAAAATTATATAGATAATTGAATAAAATAAATTTGCAAGATAAAAATTGCCTGTATAACTTAATTTCTCACAATTGTAAATTGCAGAGTACAAATTAATGTTACAAGTTTTTGCCATATTAAGGTTTATGAAAATTAAAACTGCGGTAGTGCTTCATTCAAAAGCCACTAACCTTCTTATAGACCAGTGATATTGGAACCAGTGAATTTTTTATTTTTTATTTTTTTTTTGAAATTGAAGTTACATTCAAATTTACTGTCATAATCTACACTTCTATAAGTATTAAGTTGCCTTTATAGAACTCAAAAACTAAAAAAGCCATAAAAGCCACTAATCTTTTTTTATAGTTTAGCAATAATGGAACCAGTGAAGTAATCTTTTTTTTATGAAATAAAGGCGTATTAGAATTCATTGTTATAATTTACAATCTCGCAATCCTAGGATACTTTTATAGAACTCAAAACTATGAAACCACTAACCTTTTTTTAACAGATCAGCGATAATGGAAACAGTAAACAGTGAAGTAATAAAGTTTCAGATAAGTAAATAGTGTAAGGCTTAAATACATTTCATA